TGTGTCCAAGGGAAAGACATTTTACACGGATTTCTCATTTGGCTTCTTTTTTTTTTTTTCTGAGATGAACATTAAATTCAGGTGATGTAACTGACTAAATGTGTGACTGGAAATTCGATAGGGGGGGGAGAGGGGGCATAGTTGCGTGTGAGTTCCTGCCTCTTAAGTAGCCTAATAATAGTGTGGATAGGCGTTAAACCTATACCATTTCACCTTTTTTTCTCACCTCCTCTCCCCCCCCACTCGTAGTGTTTGTTGTGACGTACTTAGCCCTGCCTCAACGAAACATTTGTTGTCACTGTTCGTGAGTCGGTAGGGGCTTGCACACTCACAACATACGTGAAAGGAATTGTTAAAATACAAATATTTGAATAAGTATGTAATGTTGTACATGCATCTTGTAAATGCGTCACACTGTACATTGTAGGCAGTTGCATACGCATTGTAGATAATCATCTTTTTTTTCGTGGCATCATCATCATCATCATGTCTCCACCAAGCTCACCTTTTCTATTGTTGTTTTTTTTTGTAATGTCTCTCCTCCCCCCTCCCCCCACCCCTTGTGGATTCTACATGTACATGCTTGTTTGGAACAGTACCAAAATTTATCAGGTTATAATTTCATGTGTTACTTTTGTTTATTTCTTTCCACATGGGAAATTATTGAACTGTACATGATGTTTTGTGTAAAAGTGAAATTAAAAATTGGAAAATATTTTGTAATGAAATCTGCATTTTTTCTCTTTTGATTGAGAGATCCTGGTTCTGAACAAGTTTGTTACATGTGTATGTTGTTATGTAGTAGCCTACGTGATGTGGCCAGTATAGCAGTACTGTTGTGGAGCCTGGTGTGAGAATAGGGAGATGGTTCTCTAAATTTTGGGTGTAACGTGAATAGTCCTTTGCACTCGTATCAGTGGGTGGTTGGCGGGGGTGCTCTGACCCAGTGATGAGGTCAAAAGGTCATTCGATGAGGATCATCAGGTCATGTTTGTGGTAGTCATGTTCTGTGTCTTAGTAGGAGGGTGAGTGGTTGGCGGGTGCTCTGGTGTGGTTTGCGTTTTCTTTCCTATCATCAGACGTCTATCATCTTTATAGAATCTCCCCTCCTTTTTTGTTTTTGTTACTCTCTTGTAACACATCTAATATTCAGCACTTTATGACCTTATTGTGTTGCAAGTGCCGTAAAACACTAAAACAAAAACTAGTAGTAGGATGCCTCGCTCGTGCAGTGATCAGAGGGGAACCAGTTTGTGTCCTGTTGTGAGAAGCACGGACACCC